TGGCCCTGCTCTGTGCCTGATAGGGAGGGAGCTCCCCAAACCCCTGATCGCCCTGCGGCTCTGTGTGTGACAGGGTGTGGTGCCCAACCCTCCCCCCCGCCCCACGTGCCCTGCTCTGTGTATGACGGGGTAGAACCATAACCTCCCCATCAGCTGTGCCCTGAGTGTGACAGGGTGCGGCACCCCAACCACCTGATTGGCCCTGCTCTGTGTGTGACAGGGGGTGGTGCCCTAACTCCCCTATTGGCCCTACTCTGTGAGTGACGGGGGGAGCTCCCCAACCCCCCTGATGGGCCCTGCTCTGTGAGTGACAGGGGGCAGTGCCCCAACCCCCTGATTGGCCCTGCTCTGTAGGTGACAGGGGTGGCACCGCAACCTCCCCATCGACCCTGCCTTGAGTGTGACAGGGGGTGGTGCCCCAACCCCCCAATCAGCCCTACCCTGAGCGTGACCTTCCAATCCGCCCTGCTCTGTGCATGACAGGGGGGCGGCACCCCAACTACCCAATCGGCCCTGCTCTGAGCCCGACCAGGGGCTGCACCTAGGGATTGGGCCTGCCCTCTGCCACCCAGGAACAGGCCTAAGCCAGAAGGTCGTTATCTCCCGAGGGGTCCCAGACTGCGAGAGGGCACAGGCTGGGCTGAGGGACCTCCCCTTTACCCCGAGTGCACACATTTTTGTGCACCGGGCCTCTAGTATATAATAAAAGGCTAATATGCAAATTGTCCCCTTGGGAGTTTAACCAGGAGACCAGGAGTTTGATCACTCGCTATGATATGTGCTGACCACCAGGGGGTGGTGCAGACCATGGCAGCCGCAGGGCACTGAGGGTGAGGGAAGGAGGCAGCAGGAGGCAGGGAGCCACACCGTGGTAGTGCTTGGGCTGTGAGGGAAGGAGGAGGCAGGGGTTTGGGGAACCTGATCAGTCCTGATCGCAGGTCAGGCCCAGGGAGCCTACCCATGCACAAATTTTGTGCACCAGGCCTCTAGTGCTATGCCACATGTGCTGTCTTTCTCAGCCTCTGTGCTGTAGGGACTTTGTGCAGATCCCACCCCCTTAGCAGGAGCCTGGCCTTGCTTAGTGGCTCAGTGTCATGTAGAGGCTCCTCATGGGGTGCTGCAGGACCCAAGTGGGTCACCTGCCTTCTTGTTGATGGAATCCACTGAAGCCAGAGGTGGCCATCCCATCTGGAGGCTGCTTCCCTGTGAGGGACCTGCCATGTGCAGAGCACAGGCCAGCTCACCCCACATAGTCCCCGGCAGCCCAGGGCAGCTCTACCTTCTGATGCTCTGGCCGGTGCTCTTTTCACTTTGCCTGCTGCGTTTCCTGGGGCTCAAACATCACTGCATTTTCATAATCCTTTTCCAAAGGACAATATTTTGACAACAAAATTCAGCTACTGAGCTTTCCAGGCCCATTTACTGGAAGTCACTCTTAGTTCTTTATTTCCAAGTGTTTTCACACTACTTAATTTTTGCTACAAAGCGTTTTTCTAGCCCCAAATGCATCCCAGAGGAGCAGGAGGAGGAGGAGTGGTCTGGCCCGATGCTCCGGGGGATGACTCACTGCTCGCACAGCCTCCTTTCTCAGTGCTGTGTGGCCTATAAAACTGAGGAAACTGAGGCAGGAGGTACCCAAACAGCTGTCCAAGGCAGCGCGGCAGGAGGTGGAGGCCCTTTTGGAACCCAGATGTTTGGTCTCAGGACCCCCCACTTGCTAGTGTCCTAGACCTTGGGCTGTGGACTCTGCACCCGGGTGCACAGGAGGGCGAGGGGGGCTTACCTGACTGCTCCATGGAGGGGGAGGGGGCCTACCTGACTGCTCCATGGAGGGGGCAGGGGCCTACCTGACTGCTCCATGGAGAGGGAGGGGGCCTACGTGGCTGCTCCATGGAGGGGGAGGGGGGGCTGCCTGACTGCTCCATGGAGGGGGAGGGGGGCCTACCTGACTGCTTCATGGTGAGCAGCATGAAGAGGAAGGACGCAGCCACGCCTGACAGGCTGTACCCGGGGAAGTCCACCATCCTCCCTGGAGCAGACAGCAGAGAACGCAGCTGCTGCGCCTCAGTGAGGCTGCCACACGGAGTGGTTCCCTGGTTCCCGGCGGTTCCTTGGTTCCCGGTGCAGTTCCGTGGTCCTATGAAGAGTCACCATCAATGCCTCCGCAAGCAAACAGTGAAATGGCCTGGGCTTCCTTCTCAGTCATTGACCATTCCGACCCCCTCCCCATGTGCTGCCCTCTGAGCTGAGTTCAGGCCTGAAGGAAGATTCCTGATGGAAATGAAACACATTCCTGGACTAAAGGGACAGTAATATTTACTTTAAAAATCGCCTTAGTTCCGTCTACCTGGGCATGCAGAAATTCTAGAGCAGGCGGCAAATATTTCTCCAGTCCTCCTCCAGGCCCTCCTGCAAAGGCCTCCATTGCTGGGGCCCAGGGAGCCAGGCAGGGCCACCTGGGAAAGGGGAGGGAAGAGCCATGGAAATGGCGCTCCACACAGTGAGGACCTAGGGAACAGCCCTGGATGGCCTTGCAGCGTGGGCTTGAAGGCAGGGGAATGGCTAAAAGGAGGAGCCAGGCAGAGGTGGGTAAACCAGAGTCCAGGGTGCAGGCCACGCCCAGTGCGTCCTGGCCAGGACCTTGGAAAGCTCTGGGGACCCAAAGAGACCCAGCTTCCGTTTTGAAATCTGGGAACTTCTGAATGAAAGGCATATAAGACCTGCTCTACAGGGTGTGTCAAGTGTCTTATTGAAGAAGGACTCGCTTCACTCCCAGTAGAAGAGCCTGCTCCGAGCTGTAAGCCAGAAGCTCATGTCCGGAGACTACAGGGCGGGGAATCAGCAGCCCTGAGCCCGAGGTTGCGACGCGGGTGCTTTGGGGGTTAGTTTTACTCACTCTGCTTGAGTTTAAAGTGATGCTCACTTTCACAAAACCTCTAGGGAACCTGCTGTATGCCCAGTCTCAGTGCCCAGATCCGAAAGAGCTAAAATATTTACATGAAAACGAGGCTGCGCGCTTTGGAAGGTCCCAGTGACTTCCCAGGGACCAAGGAACTTGCAGAGGCCTCCTTGCCACCCTGAGATAAGCAGAAACCTTTGTTCCGCAAGAAGGCCAAGCCCTGCACCCTCGCTGGTCCTGTGACTGAGGAGGAAGGACCCACACTTGCCACAAACCAGCTTATCAGTGTGTGTGGGGGGGGGGGAGGTACAGCTGCACTTCAGCAAAAACTGTCCAAATCAATGAAGCTCTGGAAGAAAGTTGTGAAGTGCATCTAGCCTTCCCTGGTACCGGGAGAGCTCTGTGAGGACGCTGGGCAATGTCCGCAGACATTTTGGGAGTCACAGGGGGCGGGGGCATCCAGTAGGTGGCAGCTGGGGTGCTGCTGACCCTCCCACAGAGCACAGGCTGCCCTGCAGCCCGCGCTGTCAGTGCCCAGGAAACCCCGCCTGGACCATCTGCCCACCATGCGGGAAGCTGTTGGCACACTTTTTGCAACTGGACTTACTGGTAAATTGTGACTTTAAATGATAACATTTTAGCGGTCAGCCTTTTGACGTCTCTATTTTACTTTTGAATGTAGGCCAGGAATCTCTGAAGCTGCGGCTGATGTTGAATACGGCAAACCCCGGTGTGTCAGAGCGGCTCTAACGGGTGTCACCGGGTTCTGGAAGCCCGTTTCACTTACTTCCCGGGAAGCACCGGTGTTAGGAGGCCGGGTGCGTGGTCCGTGCTTAGCCATTCGGTGGACAATTCTGAGCCCAAGGTCTGAGCGCACCGTATTAACACCACACCGCAGACCCCTACAAACTACCACCACCCGGCATGAGGTTTTCTAGTTAAAAAAACCCTCAAAACTTAAATTCTGAAAGTGCCAAGGAACTGCAGTAATTAACTAGCGAGAATTAAGTCAGTTCACCAAATGTGAAGCTTATATATCTGTGTAACTTAAAGAGCAGGTGCAGTGTATCCCATGCTGACGGGACATGTTCAGAGGAAGCGAAGGGCCCTCTGACTCGGGTGACGGTTCCCTGCTGTGAGCGGAGCCCCAGGCGGGTCTTTCTGAACCTCCCCGCTCCTTGCTCCAGATGGAGACCATTGTCCTACCTTCTCCCCGTGCATCGCCATGTGGCTCAAGACGCAGACAAGCACCAGGTGTGAGAAGGGTCCAGGAGGCCCGGCACCTGCGCCCCTCCCGCACCCGCCTGCTCACAGCCGCGCGGGGCTCACACAGCCCTCCGAGGCGTGTGAAGGGGTTGGAGGGTGGACCCAAGTGGGAGCGGTTCCGACAGGCAGTGTCCGGGCCATGCCACCTGTCCAAGCCCGCTCCTTCGTCTCTTAGCCCCTGGGACACCCTGTCCCCGTCCTGCGCTGGGTCCGCACGCTCACCTGTCTCCAGGC